CATTCCTGCGTTAGGTTTATGTCGAGCTAGACTTAGCGATATAGCGATAGCGAAATTACAAGCAACTGTCATAGTTGAAACGGTGGATTATCACGGCCATCCTCGGAATGTTGGTGGTGATTGCTGAGTTGCCATTCCTGCGTTAGGTTTATGTCGAGCTAGACTAAAAGACTTAGCGATAGCGAAATTACAAGCAACTGTCATAGTTGAAACGGTGGATTATCACGGCCATCCTCGGAATGTTGGTGGTGATCTTGTCAGTGCTGAGTTGACGCTCGCGGATAATATACACGCGGAAAATCAGAGTGCTACCATCGAGACGGAAGTAAAAGATCTGGAAAATGGAATCTACGAAATTTATTTTCGGCCACCGACCGCGAGTCGATACGTTATAAAGATATCTGTATTCGAACGACCCATAAAAGATTATCCACTATTTTTCGACGCGACCGAACATAATGAAGCTATTAAGATATACGGAAGACGTGGTAACGGAAAAGACGAGTTTCATCAGCCAGTCTCAGTCGCAGTGGATGACGAAGGAATGATTTATATTTTAGATACTGGAAATTCTCGCATTAAGGTTTGTTTAAAATAATATACAGGGAATACGATATTTTATATAGCAAGATATTTAATTTTCGTAATTTTTGTATTGCTTTAGGTACTCAATTGTGATTTGGAGTTTCAAAGGCACATAAATAATGAAGGCTTAGAGGGCCGCAGTTGTACGGGAATAGATATTTCTCAACAAGGTCTCGTAGTTGTAAATTGGCGGACGCGAAAGATTACAGAAATGACTTCGTTAGGTGATACGATCCGATCCTTCTCGCATAACGCATTTCAAGTCAGTAGTTTTTATTACACGTTTCATCATTGAAAAAAAAAATATAATACTTATAAGTACCTTTTAATTAATTGTTATCTTTTCGTCTTCCAGGAACCTATAGACATTGCAGTGGATAAGAATTACGGGCACATACTTGTGGCTGACAACGGTCAAAGCTGTGTGTTCGTATTTGATTCAGATGGCAAAATACTCTTCCAGGTTAATTTTTGTTTAAGTACATATACAAATAATTGTAACTGCAAGTTGCCTCGGTCCTCATAGTTATCACGAAACGTTAACAGGTCGGTGGTAAGAGAGGCACGTTTAAACTAATCAGTTCTGTGACTGTCGGTCCTGCCGGTGAGATTCTAGTTGCCGATAGCAGGATTCAAGTATTTTCCGCAAAGGGAGATTTCTCCGAGGAAATATATTCCGAAGGCAAAGGTAAGTTTCAGTATCTGTTTGACAGTGATTTGTTTGTAATAGTACCATTTAACTGGAAGTCTTTCAAAGAATACAATATTATGGGTATATGAAAAATGGGGGTATATATATCAAAGTAGGAATATTTTAACGCAATAAAACTAAAGACTATATGTACCCGTTTTATATATACGACAGGAAAAGGTATCTATGGAGGAATAGCCGTGGATGCGGACGGCAAAATAGTTGGCACTCGTACAGACAAGGGTCGCAGTATAATACAAGTAATGAAGCTAGGTGGAGGTAATATTTTAACCGAAATTGACTCGCATAGCTCGAAATTGCGACGTCCGTCAGGCATAGCCGTATTGTCGGATAATCATCTAGTGGTGGTGGACTTGGGCAATGATTGTATAAAAAAGTACAGATACTGGTAGAAAGTCGTCCATTTGAGTATCAAAATTCACAAACCGCGAGCGGGAAGAAAATTCGTTACGAAAAGAGATACCAAATGTCAATCTAATTTAGAATTATTTATTCAGGTTTTTCTGTGAAACTTATAGCTATAACATTGTGTATTATGACAAAAAAAAAGTATGTCTATGTTTTCATAAAAAATTTTTATATATAGTTTATAAATCACAGGATAAAACGTGTGTGACGCGAAATAATAATGTTGGTAAAGGAGCATCCCTATTTTAACTTTATCTTTTTTGCAATATGTATTGCTCTGCATAATATCTTATAATTTTTACTTTGTCTTTATTCATAAAATTTAATTTTTTTTAATATTTTGTTATTTTCTTTCTTGTGTTTCCTGCGCAAATGCGGAAATACAAAGTTTTCACTGCACATAAAACAAAGTCAGTCGAAATGCTCAGTACTTATTATATGTATATCTTTTGTATTTTATTAGATTTTAAATCATTGCAATTAATATTTGATTGTTTGAGAATGCATAACAACTCTGTTGTTGCTGACTAATTTAGATACATCCGCAGATAATGATTCTCTCTTAGTTTTGTTAAATGAAGCCTGAAAATTGTTGTTCTAAATTCTTATTTAAACACACACCTACATATAATGATTGCAATTGTAATCGAACGTACATTAGACGTCATAAGAAGCAATATACACAAATAATAAATAGTCTAATAGAGGCTATCTAAGATAATATTGCATTGAGATTCAGGGGCAACAATTCATCTCCAATGAAATATATAACCCAAATAATAAAAAAAAAGAAAAAACAGAATTAAAGAAATAGATCTCGTTTTATTTCTGATAAAGTCGAAATGCTCAGTACTTATTATATGTATATCTTTTGTATTTTATTAGATTTTAAATCATTGCAATTAATATTTGATTTTTTGAGAATGCATAACAACTCTGTTGTTGCTGACTAATCTAGATACATCCGCAGATAATGATTCTCTCTTAGTTTTGTTAAATGAAGCCTGAAAATTGTTGTTCTAAATTCTTATTTAAACACACACCTACATATAATGATTGCAATTGTAATCGAACGTACATTAGACGTCATAAGAAGCAATATACACAAATAATAAATAGTCTAATAGAGGCTATCTAAGATAATATTGCATTGAGATTCAGGGGCAACAATTTATCTCCAATGAAATATATAACCCAAATAATGAAAAAAAGAAAAAACAGAATTAAAGAAATAGATCTCGTTTTATTTCTGATAAAAATTCTTTTTTTAATGTTTACAATGTGACTGAATGCTTTAAAATTTTTCGACAATTTTAACAATTTTTAGACTTGATTTGTTTCAATAAGATCAGGTTCATTATCTACTGATGTATAATGTTATTATACAGAAATTATATATATACACACATACACACTGCCGTTCCATGTTATTTTACATCTTCGTCAAGATAGAATACGGAGTTGTATCGTTATATAAACTTTTACATTACACAAAATCAATCACACATGTGAAGAACTTGTTTAAATGCCTTAGTGTTGAGGTTGTAGAAATTTTCGTTGAATTGCAAATATTTTCATTGATTAAAATCATAGACTTTTTTATTAAATTTGGAATCATATTTTTTTTAAATGTATTTCGTATTTATTATTACATTTAATTTATATATTGTGTTTCTTATATCACATATTTATTAACTTATGCTTCGTGATTTGTGTGAAAAAAACTAGTTTTTATTTTTATTAATTCTGTCTTCGATTTTATTTTTGAAATTTTTTGTGCAGTACTTTTATTTTACAGACACGCAAAAGTTCCTTGTCCTTTTTAATAAACAAGAGACTTGGGTTACTCGCGCATCGGTACTACGTGAATTTTTTAACTAAATAAAGTAAATTATAATTAATGTAAGATAATTCTAGGCACACACAAATAATTAGAAATATATTAAGAATTGTATATATATTTTTTCAGTATTATCGTAAATTTTGATAGAATTGGTCATGGTTATTTATCTAGAGAAATAAAAGATTTATTTATCTAGAGGTTTTCTAAACTTCATGTAAAACACACATAATTATCTCGATAATGGCGCATGTTTCTGAAGGCCTACAAAATCAGTCACTATAATTGAATTATTCGCTGTTGAAAAGACGCTACATCCTAATTTTTGCACGTTTCACCGCGCAAATGATTTCTCTTATTGTTGGGAAAAATGTATTTATATATAATGTGTGCATATTATTTAAATTAAGTCACTGAATATAAATCAGGAAGAAGATTGAAAAAGATTCAAGTGACAAGATTTATTACGTCGCGCAATTTGCTTTTCTATCTAGAAATATTTAACGTCCGTCTGAAAACTATGGTTGTTGTATTCGCGTGAAATGTTAACATAATATATGTATCTACTTATTCTTTGATACTTATTTCTTGACCGAGAGTGATATAAACTTACACATATATATATACGCGGCTTATAATGTCTATTTCTGTAACCCCGGAAAGAAATATTTTCTCACACTATACTTACTAACTTCATCTATATAATCAATTTTTAATATAATTGTAATTTTAATATTTGTATACTACTTTTACATGACTTATATAATTGCATGCGCTAGAATTATTCGTCAGCTGTGTTAAAAGGGCGAATGCACTTGAAAATATTAAAATGCTTTTCAATTTTTTTCTTTTTGAGTAGATGATTTTTTAAACATATTTTTTTGTGTTATATAAAATGATTTTTGGATTTTAAGTGCTTAAAGAAACAGATTTTATATGTTTTACGTATAAGAATGACGTCAAACGCTGTGAAATCATGTTTTTAAATCTTTATGTACTTTTTTCTTGGAAACTACTGGTTTAATTATTATTTTTCTAAATCTCTTCAAAAATAAATAAGCTACGATTTAATTTCTTGGTTTGAGAAAAAGAAACATGAGAAAGAAAGTGAAAAAAGAATTATTCTGATATTAATTCAAAGTTGAGAAAAAGAAACGTAAAAATAGATCATTTTGTCATATTATTTTTTTTTTTGCAGTTGCACTCGTCCCTTTACTACATTGACGAGAAATCTCTTTGTTGTATTATAAAAATTATTTTTTAGAGTACGCAAGTCACATTTGTGGAGTACAAACAATTTAAATTGAATGCAATCTATTAATTTTCGAAATTTATATCTTTACGGGGAATGCACGGAAATCTTTTAGCAAGCCTATTTTTTGGATTGTATCGCAGATACGACATTCCTTATGAACTGCTTTGCAGAGTGATCTACCATATAGGCTACGTTTAATATAAACTATTACATATATATTGCTTGTATATGTACGAATACGACGAGTCTCTGTAAAACACGCATTATATATCACGTTAGTTCTTAGCGAAAAGTATAACAGTGCCTTTATTGAGAAGATGTCACGGTTTATCTTACGACGACTGATTCATATATTCTTTTTTTGTATTCAAATCCCAATACTTTAATCGTAACGCGAATCACACCTGCTTTGTTTTTGAAAGCGCGACATTTGGATATTAAATTAAAAATCGTTCTTTTCGTATAATTATTCACATATGAACGATGAATACAAATGCGCGCGAGACAAATAAAAATATAAATAAAAATAATTATTACCAATATGTAATAATAAAAAAAAGACAGGCATCGTTCCTATAAAGTGTATGTAAATTGTTGAAATGAAAATGTATTATGAGTTGCAACAGAGGTCTAAAATTAATCAGATCGCGATGTTTTATCGCAATAATTTGTATCAGTTACGCAATTATATACAGATCTGTATTTATTCAAATTTCGCGTTTTATTTAACGTACATCTCGAGTCTCATCGAAAACATATAACGCTCTACAAACTTACATATTAATTGTAATGTGAAAGTGTGTGTTATTTTAAAGTCTGACCCTAGAAGATAAGCTTTTGATTCATCAATGTCCTATTGTCGCCTAAGTATCAAGTCGCCATAGGTGACACATCATAAAACATACAGATAATTTTAATATTTGCGTTTTCTTTCTCTTTTCATATATGTACGGACTTTTCAGCAGCCAGCCATAAATGCCACATATATAAATTCAGACTGATATATATTTCTTGTTTGTATTTTTCTTGATATTGTTTAATCTAGTCATATGTCATCTGTAACTGTAACATTTATGTATCATGATTTAAAAAAGAAAAAAAAATGCTGTAACATAAAATATTGTAAATAAATGTATAAGCTTGATTCATTGAGATGGTTTTAATTGATCGTTTGAAAGTATGTTATTTCCCCCTATAAAGTACTAAAATAGAACTGTGAAAATTATATCTCTCAAGTTTTTTTTTTACTTAGCCATATTTTTAAAATTTTTGGTACATAGAGAGAGAGAGAGAGAGAGATGTTTTCGTTATTATATTATATTTTTGATTTCTCTTATTGTTGGGAAAAATGTATTTATATATAATGTGTGCATATTATTTAAATTAAGTCACTGAATATAAATCAGGAAGAAGATTGAAAAAGATTCAAGTGACAAGATTTATTACGTCGCGCAATTTGCTTTTCTATCTAGAAATATTTAACGTCCGTCTGAAAACTATGGTTGTTGTATTCGCGTGAAATGTTAACATAATATATGTATCTACTTATTCTTTGATACTTATTTCTTGACCGAGAGTGATATAAACTTACACATATATATATACGCGGCTTATAATGTCTATTTCTGTAACCCCCCGGAAAGAAATATTTTCTCACACTATACTTACTAACTTCATCTATATAATCAATTTTTAATATAATTGTAATTTTAATATTTGTATACTACTTTTACATGACTTATATAATTGCATGCGCTAGAATTATTCGTCAGCTGTGTTAAAAGGGCGAATGCACTTGAAAATATTAAAATGCTTTTCAATTTTTTTCTTTTTGAGTAGATGATTTTTTAAACATATTTTTTTGTGTTATATAAAATGATTTTTGGATTTTAAGTGCTTAAAGAAACAGATTTTATATGTTTTATCTTTATGTACTTTTTTCTTGGAAACTACTGGTTTAATTATTATTTTTCTAAATCTCTTCAAAAATAAATAAGCTACGATTTAATTTCTTGGTTTGAGAAAAAGAAACGTAAAAATAGATAATTTTGTCATATTATTTTTTTTTTTTTGCAGTTGCACTCGTCCCTTTACTACATTGACGAGAAATCTCTTTGTTGTATTATAAAAATTATTTTTTAGAGTACGCAAGTCACATTTGTGGAGTACAAACAATTTAAATTGAATGCAATCTATTAATTTTCGAAATTTATATCTTTACGGGGAATGCACGGAAATCTTTTAGCAAGCCTATTTTTTGGATTGTATCGCAGATACGACATTCCTTATGAACTGCTTTGCAGAGTGATCTACCATATAGGCTACGTTTAATATAAACTATTACATATATATTGCTTGTATATGTACGAATACGACGAGTCTCTGTAAAACACGCATTATATATCACGTTAGTTCTTAGCGAAAAGTATAACAGTGCCTTTATTGAGAAGATGTCACGGTTTATCTTACGACGATTGATTCATATATTCTTTTTTTGTATTCAAATCCCAATACTTTAATCGTAACGCGAATCACACCTGCTTTGTTTTTGAAAGCGCGACATTTGGATATTAAATTAAGAATCGTTCTTTTCGTATAATTATTCACATATGAACGATGAATACAAATGCGCGCGAGACAAATAAAAATATAAATAAAAATAATTATTACCAATATGTAATAATAAAAAAAAGACAGGCATCGTTCCTATAAAGTGTATGTAAATTGTTGAAATGAAAATGTATTATGAGTTGCAACAGAGGTCTAAAATTAATCAGATCGCGATGTTTTATCGCAATAATTTGTATCAGTTACGCAATTATATACAGATCTGTATTTATTCAAATTTCGCGTTTTATTTAACGTACATCTCGAGTCTCATCGAAAACATATAACGCTCTACAAACTTACATATTAATTGTAATGTGAAAGTGTGTGTTATTTTAAAGTCTGACCCTAGAAGATAAGCTTTTGATTCATCAATGTCCTATTGTCGCCTAAGTATCAAGTCGCCATAGGTGACACATCATAAAACATACAGATAATTTTAATATTTGCGTTTTCTTTCTCTTTTCATATATGTACGGACTTTTCAGCAGCCAGCCATAAATGCCACATATATAAATTCAGACTGATATATATTTCTTGTTTGTATTTTTCTTGATATTGTTTAATCTAGTCATATGTCATCTGTAACTGTAACATTTATGTATCATGATTTAAAAAAGAAAAAAAAATGCTGTAACATAAAATATTGTAAATAAATGTATAAGCTTGATTCATTGAGATGGTTTTAATTGATCGTTTGAAAGTATGTTATTTCCCCCTATAAAGTACTAAAATAGAACTGTGAAAATTATATCTCTCAAGTTTTTTTTTTACTTAGCCATATTTTTAAAATTTTTGGTACATAGAGAGAGAGAGAGAGAGATGTTTTTGTTATTATATTATATTTTATATAGATATATAGTTAATGTATAATTTATAATTCTTATACTATTGTACTATATATTATACTAAATGACACTAGTATATATTAAAATATACTATAGGTATTGCATTTATTTTATATTATTCACACTCAAAGGCATAAATTGTGTGTACAGTAAAAAATACCCTGCACGTTAGAAAAAAATTTTACCTTGTTCGGCGATAATATCACATCGTTACGTATTGAATTAAGATGTCTCGAATACTCCCGAGATTATCGTACCATCGCGCTGCGCCGTCTTGAGACGACTGTCCACTATCCCGGAGTCGTGGGATCGTGGGGACGCCCGCGTAGGAGTTTCACGTCCCTGAGTGTGCGCGAGAGAAAGAGGGAGAGAGAGATCTGTAGGAGGGAGCAAGAGGGCGATAGGACGCTTAGCTACCACACCGGCCACGGTGCTACACGATGTTACGGTGGTAGTGAATGGAACGCGGTGCGCCGCACGTCCTCGCGTAGTACGACGCTACGCGGGCGTCGCGCGCCACCAATGGACGGTGAGTACGAGCGGTCACGTGACATGCGTGCCGAGCCAGCAGCAGAACATTGCAAATGACAAGACGCGTAGGGCATTGTGTCGTCGCGCCGCCGCCGCCGCTGCCGCTGCCGCCAGCCGCCGCCACCACCACCGCTACCGTCGTCGTCGTCGTCGTCGTCGTCGTCAATTCCTCCGGTCGGGTCGCGTCGGACCAACAAGAGTCTCTACACGGTGCTTGGCACGGGTAACGTGTCGCGGGTACGCGTCCGTAAAAAGCGGCCCGTAAGTAATCGTCGGTAGTTGCGCGCGCGACTTGCCGAGCGGGGCTCTCTCTCCCGCGCCCTGAGAGAAAGAGCGGCGGCCGCCAAAGGCAGGAGGAAGCCGCGTCAGGTGCGCGTCCGCTCCGCTACGTTTTCCCCGCGCGCGCGCGCGCGTGGTGGTGCGAATCTGGTGCCGCTCTGCTCGCCGATAGGAAGGATGTCGAGCTCGCAGCGTATGCGAAAGTCCTCGCCATGCTCGAAGCAGGGCCCGATGCGTGCCACCCTGCCCGTCAGCTCGCTGATGAGGCAGGGCCGGCAGAGCAGCAGTCTACGCAAGAGCAACAGCAACAGTCCCACCGTCTCGCCGACGAACGCGGCCGTCTGGCGAGCGCGCATCTCGCCGGAGACATCGTCTTCCTCGGGACAGCGGAGTCCCGGGTCCCTGTCCTACAAAGGTATGTCGGCTCCCCCTCCCCTCCCTTCTTCTCCTTCTCCTCCTTCTCCTCCTCTTCCCCCTCGCGGGCACGTTCTTTGTGCTCGTATGAGTTTTGATCGGGAAACGCGCGCGCGTGATCCTCGAGTATCCTGGGAATCGTCATCGGGGACCGGGGACAAATATTGGTTGATCGGTTATAGCGACGATTCCGCGCAAAAGCCCGACCGGTACTGTAGTTTGTTTTAGGAGCATAGTGCCAAGATGCTATCTTTTTGGATTCTGCTCTGTTAAGGGATAAATAAATCGCGAAGTGTGCTTTGTCCAAGGTTTTAATATTTCTTAATAAACAAGTCGTCTCTCCATGAAGAAATAAGGTATCTTACATATCGTTTGTCCAAGGTATGTAAGCTGGATAGAAAGCTTTATTGTATTCGCTGCGCAGATGTCAGATAGACATTCTGTCTGACTTGGAGATATTTACTTCTCGCAGTGCTTTATGTTATGTGTATTATTTGTTACGATACTTCTTCCCTTTTTATTATTTGAATTGAAAAATAAAAGAGAGAGAAAGATTAGCAAGTCGGATTCATCTTGTTTGTTCGTCTTAACACTGGAAAAGAAGTTTTTTATAACAAGTTTCTTTGTTATTTTTCAATTAAATTTGTAAAACAAAGAAAAGCTGATTGTTTTTTAACATAAACTATAATTGTTTGCTCCAAGTTTATTATAATCATTTAATAAACATTTTTTATCTTCATTAATTTTTAAATGTATTACTGCAATATACATTTATAATTTTTAAATATTCTTCTTTTATAATTTATATTTTTGTACAATATTATCTTGAAAAGTTCACAAGTGTAATCCATTTTGACTTTTGCATTTTTGTGCATACACATTACAACTACAGTAACTGAAGAGACATTTTTAGTTCAGTTACACTGTAGATTTATTATTTATACTTGTTTTTTCATTGTTTTGATCAAATTTTAATCAATCCAGCAACCGAAAATTGTTTTTTTAGTTCGGTCTGGTACATATATACTTTTCAAATATTGCGTAATGAAATATCTTTATTTTATTGTCTCACTTAATTGAATATTATTGTACTTTACAGCCAAATCAAAAACACTGAGCGGCCGCTGTAGCGATAGCTTAAGTGGAAGCCAAAGTATTCGACGAACAGCATCACTGGATACCATCTATCTAAAAGGACAATGGCCACGTGGCGACTCCTATTATATGCATTCCAGTCTTCTGGTGGACAAATCTACTCAGGTGAGTATATTTTGTTCCTCTTTCTAGAAACATATACACAAAAATGTAAAATGAACATATTTATATCATGTAAAATTTGTTTGATTGGTATCTTATATTTTTATTGCATAGACGGAAGAATGTTCCAATGAACCAAGAAAAATGCATACTCGTCATCCTACAGAACAAACGGTCACTGATGAAAAATTGGAAAAGAATTATTTCAGGCATCGGTATGTGTGTGTGTGTTTTGTGTTGTCCAGTTTTTTATGTTCTATGTTTATTGAAAAATTTATATGCCAATTTGTATACCTCATACATATATTGTTATCACAGATTACAACGTACAAATAAAGAAGGTACTAGCAGTAGAGAGCGGACAGCGGCATTCGGACTAATAATGCCGGGTGGTCCACCACCCGCGCTTCCCGGGGATCATTCAGTACTTTTACCCAGTATTGCTTCGCAGACATCCATACGTGAGTAACTACCTAAAAGCTCTTTTTGTTCTATTCTATTGAAGTTATTAATTAAATATCATTCCTTATCTTTACAGACAATCAATTTAGCTTGAGTAAAGCAAGTCCCATGAATATCCCGGTGAAACCAATGAGGCCTCCGATGCGTTCGTCTATCGAAGGGCTCAATCAAGAAATCGAAGGACTCGTGCTCAAAAGTACAGCCAACAATAGCGACGCAGATCATCCAATAGAAGACAAGGTAATACAAAATATTAACAATTATTAATTTATAGATTCTGATATTTTAACAAAATGAAACGAAAAGATTAATTTGTAACTTATAAGTTGTTTGGAAAAAGAGCGAAGACGCGCTATTTTGAGAAAAATGTATTTATAACTTATATTTCACTTGAAAGATATTTTTTGTCAGAATGAATATGTACATTTGTTATTTAAATACTTTTTGTCTCAAATACGTGCATCTGTATCTAGATATTGATATTAAGGATATACATCATTAATTGTCGCCAAATATTTTATAACAAAACCTTCAAAATATACTGTTTTCGCTTATGTGTGTTCCTTTTTTATACACAGTCATAGTTTTATATAATAATAATTATATGAGATTTCAATAATGAGTATCGAATTTATCTATTACTTTTCTAGTATGCACGATATCGCGAGCAAATCACACCTGAAGGACATCGCGCTCCTTTAGCAGATCTATTGCGGGCTACTCGGAGTGTCAACACACAAACACCAGCTACTGACCTTCCTTCCAGTTCTTATTCTTCAGGTAAGTCGCGTGACGGCGTCTTTATATGCTCAACTAATTTGTGGGTATGATGGTGTTAATAAAATTAAGACGATTATTACAAATTTGCAAGATTTGCAATTGAGAGTGTGATAAACTGTTGCAAAGAAAACTGGGTAATAATCAAAATGTTAATAAGAATTAAACTGTTTTATAACATTATTTATTCTTCAAAGTAAATTTATGAGCGACTATTAAATAAATTTATGAATGACTATTAGGATAATCAGAAAAGTCATAATTTTATATAAAAAAATAAAAATAAATTAAAAGTATAGAATAAAAATTTCTTTTTACAAGGGTAGCTAAAAAAAAAATAATTGTATTCTATAAAAAAAAATTTATTCTGTTAATTTATTTTTTATAATTCTCTTCCTGATTATGTCACTTGTATAACAATTATCAATCTGTGTATATATATATATACACACACACACACACACACACACACTTGTATATTTTTTTTTTATTAATTCTGGTTAACGTGAATATATTTAGTATAAATAATATACACACTAACTAAAGGTGTGTGCCTGTTGAGACAGGCCCTCCATCTAGGAATTCTGAGTCTCCGCTGATTCCTGGTGTTATGGATGCGTCCCGTCCACCTAGCGATCTCTTACAAGGTTGGCGCATATTTGCGGAAGATTTGATTTTTCCTTTTCACGGATCTCATTTGTTTGTTTTTGATCTCTCGATTTACCATTGTTGATATTACACTTTTAATGATAGATGAGTGATAGATAATGAGTCATTAAAAACTATCACTCTCAATAAATCTTAAAATATGAATTTTATAGAAAAATATTTCAAATAATAATTACTTTTAGTTCTGAGAAGAACATCCATGTATGATCAGTACAAATGGAAGCACTTTCAAATAAGAAAAAAATATATGGTTTTGTTTAAAAAAACAAAGGCTTTAAAGTCTCGTTTCCATTTAGAACAAAAGTGTTTACCACATATCCGTTGAGATCAATCAACTTTTATCTGAAATATTTTTTTATGGAACGCATAATTTAAGATTTATTAAGAAGAGTAACTTCTTTTAGTGTGGTTTATTTTATACAAACATATATATAAATGAAAAAACAGTTTATATTTCTGTCAAGATTCATTATTATCCATTTTGTATGCATGATATTATTCATCTTTAAAAGATCGTCATCAAGGTATATGTAAAACTTAATGTTGTGAGAACAATATCATTAAATCTTATTCAAACTTATGGTTACGATTTTTACAGTCATATTATTATGATTGAATCACTATTCAAAAGTTTATCATTTCTTTTTATTATCAATAATACACATATTAAATTATAGTTTGTATAATAATTAAAATAATATATAAATCAGATATTCAACAAAATCCTGTATACATAGTGGAATTAGTTGCATGTTTTGCTATGATCTAAGAATGTTTTATGTATCACTTATTTATTTTTTATAGTTAGATATTTCTCTCTTTCGTTAGTATAAATATTGCTATCAATATATTAAAACATATGCATATTATGTACTATATGCATATTATATAAAAACTCTAACAATATTAGAAATGCATGATAACATCACGTTTAATTATATATACCTTGCCTTAGAGAATATCAATATTTATTTTATTTTATTTTTTTCAGCACCACAAGAGCAAGAATATTAATATAATAATTAATTATATATATAATTTTCTTTCCATGTTTTTAATGCTATTAAATATAGCATGAACATAATTTGTGTCTACACATTTATCTATTTTCATCGCAAAATAAATGTGTAATAATATCCCATTTTACATAAGCTCACTGTTTACATATTATTTACACGCAAGCATCTATTATTAAAATATTGAATGGCATGTGAAACCCTCGTTATATATTTGGATCATCAACATAAAAAGAACGATGTTTCATATGACGTTCCATTTCTTATACGACACAATGCGACTTTAAAATTCTTCTTTAATTTATAGGTGGAAGCCGTGGTTCAACACCTGAACAAGATAGAGAAGGACGTCTTGGTACCTCTCCTCACATTAACAGGTTCCTGGCGAGGGAACCGCCCGATGGCTGTGAGAAAGTCAACCTCAAATTTGTGGAAGATGCAAGGTAACATTGAGATCACTCTCTACTATCATTTCTTAGGATGTCTGTAAACAGTCTCTTTTTCATGTTTTCATATGCAGGCGGCCCATGATAGATTTGAGCAAACTAGATTATTGCCCAAAGCCGTGCGTTCCAGCATTCCAGTTGAAACCCAGCTTGGGATCAGCGTTCCTGCCATTGCAACAGCCGGCCAGCCCGACAATGGTCGCCTCGAGTGCATCACCTTCCGCGCATACGACACCGACCACACCTCCACCAAATCCATAGTCCCACTCTTTATCTTGCGATGTTAAACTTGTAAGCTCGATTAGTATATATATATATATACATGCATATATATATATTTTTTTTTAACGACCTTGTGGGTAGAAAGTGATTTACTTCGACATAAAGGCATATATATCGACAAAGAAAAGTTACCGAACAAAAAAAATTACCAAAAAAAAAAAAAAAAAAAAAAGAAAAAGAACAGCCTGTTCCCAGTGCGCGCCGTGCGGACATCGTGCGGGCATCATGGATTGTGTAATTAATAAAGTTGCGGAATTGCATCGATACAAAAAAAAAAGTTGGGGAATTGCACGAAAAAAAAAAAAAAAAAAAGAGGAAAAGAACGTTTTTGGACGGCATCCGAGCTCCGTTTATAATGTTTGAAACAATAATATATAAATACGAGGAACAATAATTTGTGATAACTAAAAGAAAAAAAAAAACATAAAAAAGATAAAGAAACGACAACGTTTAGGAATGAACATTGTGTTCTACAGGGAAAAAAGACTAATGAAATTGCGTATTCTAAATTTAGTGCTAAAATGTGCTAAACGACTTTAATTTTGTACACACGAATAAATATTCAAGATGACAAAAAAAAGTATTAAATTTGATTGTTGGAATAAACAAAATTATATGGATACAAAGGGAAAAAAGGCACGTGTGCACGATATATATGTATGCACGTATACATACATATATATGTATACATATATATACATTGTTGCTCGTCTCTATGATGTTTTTATTAGGATCTTCATTGTTTGAAGTGCAGTCGATTACATAGTGACAGAGATGTGAATCACCCTTGTTAGAATTTTGTATCGTTTTGTATTATTACTTGTATGCTAAAAATATTCTCAAACTATTATCATATGAGAAGTTAGGAAATGATGTATCCCTATGTGTTTTTGTTTTACAAAAATGGGGCTTTACACAAGAACGATATTTTTGAGACGACATAGATACATATGTAATTATTTATCATGAAAATTCAATTGGATTTTGGAATTTATTAATTTTTTTGTGTATTTATTACAGATATGTTTCTCCTTATATATCTGTAACATAAATAAGGCGAATGACTCTAAATTTAGAACGCGAAATTGTGTTTGATAGTTTGAGATAATTCAAGCTCTATTCGGATTGATATCGTCTCATCGTTCTTCCATTCTATTTTGCGACAATATCATAGGGCTACAATATTTTTGATTTATCTTATATATTACGTTAGATTACAATCTGAATATGTACAACCAACACACAACATGCAGTGACAGGTTGACGAATGCATGATGGAATGAGCCCAACGACATAAGAAGGATTTGTATTGAGTAGACAGAAACGCGAGAGAGATGAGTGATAATACTAGATATTGGTTGAAGTGACGACATGCGCTTTTGTCAGTGTGGTATCAGATGTGGCATAAAAACGGTTCCCTAATCTGGCACGGAAAATAGGTGTGCGTGTATGTTTTTTTTGTATAAAAGCGGATAATTATTTCGAGGATATATAATCTGCGTCTTATACAAAGCGACAGTATGCATGTGTTGTAATATCAGAACTCTGATTAAATCATTCACGAATAACTTTGAAAAAGACTAAAAGCGCGACAGTAAAATTAATTTTGAAATGTTCGCTTTAATGCAGGCTAAATATCAATTTGTAAAAAATGAACACTTATGTTATATAGATTAGACAATTAGTAATTCAGATGGAGGTTTATTATCGTTTCAATTTGGATCAAAGATTATATTTTTTGCAATGTTAAATTAATAGAGAGACCTTAAAGAAGATTATTATAATATGAGCGCGGGGGAGGGAAAAAGAAAAACTGAGTTATTCGTGCGATGGATTAAATTATCGTTTACGCAGACATAGCCACTCGAAAAAAGTTCGTTTATTTTTTGCTTTCTAGTACGAAACACACATTTTGTAAACAGTTTTCATAATTAGTGTCTGTGGGAGGAAAATAAGAATCTTGATAGTGTGTAAAGCCAAGAGCGCGGAGAAGGAACGGTTTTTTAAATACGATAGTAATATACTTTCTAATAATGTAATGTATATCTAGCTACAACAGTGAAGAGGAAAAAAGAAGAAAAAAAAGAATGTTAACACATAAGTACCTGGCACACTGGTCTATGCTCTCTCTTATCCAGCTCACTAGGAAGTTCATGCCTTAGAATGCGTGGTAAGGTGTGCTATATATAGACAGGAAGGTTAATCAGAGAGTCAGGATACACACAAAATGCACACTGGCTAGTTAAAGTGTATACAATACGAAGATACTGTATAGTATTTACTAGCTTAAGAGAATTTCTCGTTTTTTATTTATTTTGCTACAGATCTAACAACAACAACACACCTCGTACCACACCGCACACTCTCTGTCGTATCGATACCTGAGTGTAGAGCTGCTTCGAAAAGAGAAAAGCGTATTCGACTATATTATTATACTTCGGTCTGTTCGCGCGCTTTGCATCTTACTTAAACGATTCTGAAGTAATGCGCGACGCGTAATAGTGTATAATTAACATTAATGAATAAAATGAAACAACAGATTTTCGTAATTTTAATAAGTAGATAAAAAAAAAAATGATTTCAAAGCGAACGCTAGCCTCGTTATTTTCACCGCATTCTGTCAAAAGGCTCCACTCTTTAACCTTCGTGTACTTGCATAATGTGTTATCATTATTGTTAGTTTTCGTTATCGATTCCGTAATAAGCAGAGTAACGCGTACGAAGACTGCTAGAACCGAATATTATACCTGTTATTTGGGATATACCTAAAAAAAGAAAAATCTAAAGTTAAATAAATTAGGCTCAAATCGCATACTGATTATCTATGATGAACGAGTGTATATAGATCTATATACTTTAATTCATTATTAAATAATCTCTCCTTACATGACTATACTGTTCGGTACATTCTCTCTACATATCTAAAATCTGAGCAGGCTTCAGAAACGGCAAAATGATTATGTCAATTAAAAATTCATTTAACCCTAGGACACAGTCTAGATGTATCGTTGCAGTATCTTGCACACAAAACGAAAATGATTGTTGAACGTGTATCGTAATTTGTAAGATGCTCAGAATTATACAAAACTCTTTCCAATACATAGAAAACACATGTGTGTATGTTATATAAAATATCTTTAAAAAAATTTTATATATCTGCTGAAAAAAAAACATTTAAAAAATGCAACTTTTATTCACTGTTTTATAATAAATATATAAAACATTATTTAAATTGTTTTTTTTTTTTTTCATTCTATGAGGACTATTATCGAAGATTTACTTTTTGGAATTCGATATCGTTTTCATGCGTACATACGCACATAAATATGACTCAATACGTCATACATAATATTTCCGATGTACCGAGCAATATGTATTTTGATTATTTGAACACTGCATATATTAATTAATGCATCATCAAACTTTGATGATATATTAACTTTTTGATCTATTATAAAATGGCAAAAAATTGTGTTAATATAAACATTTTTATTTTCAAATACTAATAATAATTTATATATTACGATATGAGAGACTCAATCAGGGGATAAATATTATATTAATAGATTACTGTTGTGACTAAAGTTATAATCTTTATGAAATTAAAAATGGACAATTTTTTTAATTTGTCATATTGCTTTCATACGTTCGCACATCTTGACCTTTTACGAATGCAAATATATTTGATTTTCTAGAATAACGAATTAATTGTTTCGTTTATAATTATCGTGATCTTTCGAATTTTCTATTCTAGAACAGTATCTTACAATGCTATAATTTTCTATATCCATTGTTCTTTTACCCTGCCTTGTAGAATTGAACGTTTGGAATTTTATTTAATTTCTTCGTCGGTCCTAGGGCTAAATCAAAATTATTAGTCAAAAGAGAGAAATAGAGCATGTAAATAATAATAAAGTAACGCTTCTTGTATTAATAACTTTTGATATAGAACATAGGTGACTCACAAGAGATGCATACTTTCGCAAAATTAAATATATTAATGAACAAACAGTACATCAATAAATTTATATATATGTATGTGTGTGTATATATATATACATCTAAGAATAATTTTGTTTGTGTTTGTACTTTCATGATTATATATTTTTCAGTTAAATTCATTTTTTATTCATTATATTTGCAAGACGTTTCAAAATTGGCGGAAAGTGGATATACACGAGTTCTTTTTATAAAGTTTGAAATTTGATTTTTATTAACGAAAACGTCAAAGCATCAAAGCATGATGTTCGTATTATATTTGAAAAAAATGTGGGGATTTCTTTATAAATTAACCTTCAGAAATAAAATTAAGAAAATTTTACGATTTATATATTCATGAAGTAGATTCTAGTTAAATTTTAAGTAAATTAAATTATCATTCGCTTATTGACGAAGATACCGAGAGAATTAAAATAACTATTGTTTAATATTATGTCCTTTTGATATATTTGCTAAGAAAGAAAAAATTGATTTCAATTATCAATTAAAGGAACAAGGACATGTGCTATTCTAGAACAGCTTGTATATTTTTATTGGATTTTTCAATTTATTGACTTATAATCTTGCAAATTCCATAATGTTATATATGATGCCAGTTTTATTTGATACGATATAAAATTAATTTATTGAAAACTTGATATATTTCATTTAACGTTTTTGATTAAAATTATCGTGTATCACACACGTTTCCAGGAATTGTACGATGAGAATATGTAAGAAAGTCGGAAAGCATTGAGAATACTAAATGGAAACTTTTGATGCTTTTTAATATTCCTGCATTAAAACACACGTTATGTCTTGACGTGTTACACGTGATTAGTTTGAAAAGAAAATTTATTTTATTCTATCATTTTTTAATGACTGTCTGAGAAAATGACGCGGATGGTTTAAATGCTTACGAAATGAATATGATACTACGATTGTGATATAATTTAGTAAGCTCATGATATTTCGTTCGGCCATTGAGAAATACATCGATTGTTGCGCGCGATCATCAAACGATATAATTATTACTTTATTCGTCGATCATAAGAAAAAGAAGAAATGTTAATAATAATAATATTTGTAACTTTCAGAGCATAGCACATGTTGTTAAGGAAAAAAAGAACTTCTCTCAATATGGAAAGGTGAGCACGGCCAAAGTGTTGCCTAGTACAAATATATTGTAAAAAAATGGATTGTTGTTTAAATGAGCCGAAAGTGCTATTTGCGTTTTGCGCAATTTATTTCAAGATATTCTTATTAACGTTCTTGATCTCAATGCGAATCCTCTTATTATCTTACCTCTCCATAGTGAGAATATTCTGCGTAAGTTGTTAAAAAATTTGATTTTTTTTTACACGTGCAATTAGTTGTATTCTAATTTATCGGCATAATATTGTAATGTACTTATTCCAATAACAATATGCACCATTATTTTTGTCATAAAGGATAAATGGAAAGAAAAATGTACCTTTTTATATTACTATTAAGACGCCTTACGTAAATAAACTTTTTAGAAAATTAGATTGATGTATGGCTTGTTATGATATGTATATACATACAAGAATGCCTTAAAAAACATGAATTTAAACGCATATCAAGATATATATATAGATAAAAATGTATATGTTTCAATATACGTGCATAAATTCATGTGGTGGGGCATTCCTNNNNTCCTGTTCCCGTGTGTACATAAAAATTTATCTCCATATTTCAGTTATGCAAGTCAGTCAATATTATTCTTGTTATTAGTTTATTTCGTTCATTTTTACTAAATTGTCAGGTATACCTTTGTATGAGTTTTTGTTGTGTTTGTAGGCAACTAGTACATACATGTATCTTTTTCTTTACTTAAATTTTCAATTTAAATTTAATAAGATATATATATTTTATTATTATTAATTCTCAGCATTTAATTAGATCTAATTACATTAGATTTTACAGATGATTAAATACTATGCTATTATATTGCATTGGATATCTAATAAAAATAATTTAATTAATAATTATAAAAAATTTTCTTTTATTTAAACTAAAAATAGGATTTCAGAATGGGATAGTAATTTCTCTTTCGGTAGTAAAACATTAAAAAATATGAAATATCACTTTCATAGAAAAGACCAGTTTTTTAATCGTCTTTGCTACATGTTAACTTCATACACATGCCGATATGATATAAGTTGCATGTGTATAGATATGTTCATATTTACATAAATATTTGTAATCATATGTTCATCTTCTTAATTGTCGGTATTATATTGTGTATAACAAGATACTTTTGTCTTATATAATTAAATTAAAATTTTTCTTTTTCATGTATGTACAAATTGTCTATAAAAATTGCCATAATTATAAACCCATATATTGAGGGGAGGAAGAAAAAGTACTTCTTGCAGAATTATTCTTCCTCGATTCCTCAGCATTAGGACTATCACTGAAAAAAAAAAAAAATGATATCTTGGCAAAGATGTAAAAACACATTGGAAAAGATCCTTATTTTTCTTTGACAATAGGATAATAATCTATAATTTATCTTTATGTTTATACACTTAGCGCTAAAAGCAACAAATTTTAATGCACATTATTCAATAGATTAACAAAAATAAGCTATAGATAGTTACGTTTAGCGCTAAATTTATGATATGGATACATGTTTATACCATTTTTTTATACCAGTGTCGTCCAGTAGTCATTCAGGTCACATCGCTGGACAATGCTGATTTATTTAAAACGCGATTCTTATAAGCTAAATGAATTACCCAAAGAAAGGCATCAAAGACACGAGCGTCTGTCTGCTCGGCCTACACGCAAATGCTGGAGAGCACTGCGCTACTCGTCCAACGACGCGTCGTAACCATTGTTGCAGTTTTTGTCGTCGCTCTTCCACAAATTTTGCATCCTAAAAAATTATTAACGATTACTCTCGATGCATCTAGATGCTAATGCGATTATAAATCTATGTATTATCTAATACTTTAACATATATATGTATATAGTTTACCTTATTTCCTATTGTTTTTTTTGGCGGAAATTCGAAAGTTGTAACAATAGCGTCATGTTTTTTTAGTTCTCTATAAAGCGCATAAAATTGAGCATATCGCCTGTAAATGTTCCACTCTACGTCTCTTATGCGGGCATAAATCTATGTTGGATATGACAAATTAGAGAAAATTTTTTTTTTGGTAAAAAGATTTTAGACTAAAATTGCGCTTCTTGTACTTGATAAACATGATGTATGTCAGATGGTTGTCCTGTGAGAAACGCGGATGGAATCCATATATGAATAAGACACGGTGGTTCCGCAGGTAAATCGTCCTCATTCAACGGTCCTCGGAGACACTCCAATTCTGTTTGCAATATCTTCACTAATCTGTCCCTGCATAAAATTCAAAATCAACTAGAAGAACTATCATCATGAAACTCGCGTAATTTCGCAATATGATTACGTACTTGTTTGTTAATTGCATTGTCAATCTAGCATTAAATTCCATTAATTCGGCATGCATATCTGCGACCTGTATCAACTTCTCTTCGTACTGTCGCGCCTCATTGTGATAATCCAACGACGGATCTTCCTCGGATATCGTCGTGGAATTGGAATCTCTTCTTAACATTTGAACGGCAGTAACATATTTACGCAACTGTTGTCGTAAGAGTTCGTTTTCTCTGTATAATTAAAAGTGAGTTACAGATCAGTTACGAATTATTATATATTCATTATATAATCTATCAATAAATATATAAGATGAATCACACATGCTTAATGTCCACAATATATCTATTATTCGTAAATTAATCTAAATTTTTTAAAAACTTTTAAGATCGTTTTTTCACTTAATTAAATAGAGATAATTAGGACAATTAAGTTATGTTTGAGTCAATCTATGCACATATCTACACAAAATAATTGTTTATAAAGTTTATAAATCAATCATAATTACCTATTTAATGTTTGCAATTGCAATTCATGCCTTTCTAAATAATGTTGATGTTGCCTCTGGAAGCGAGCTAATTGTAATCTGCTTGTTATAGCATCTTCTCTAGCTTGTTCCAGCACTTCTGTCATAGCTAAAAGCCTTACACGTAATGTATCTATGTCTAGATTCTCTGGATCTATATGCAAATCTAAACCAACTAATGGTTCTGTTGCCTCTACTGCAGGTTCTGTCACTTCTGATGAATCCTGAATGAAAATAAGACTTTTAGAAGAAAATTATAATCTCTTGTATATTTTGTTTTTAAACCTTGTTCTTTACAAAAAAATTAAAATGGATTAAATCTATCTCTTGTCTAGGAATGAGCTAAATATTAATCTAAAGCATTTAATAAATGTTATAAATATTTACAATATATAAATCTGCTTTGAATTTTTAAACACATTTGCATGTAATAAATATATTAATTAAATTTTTATTCTAAAATTAATCAAAATATAAACTCACGTTTAAATAATTTGGCAAAGCAGCTATCATATCATCCAATGTTTGATCAAGTGATGGTACAGGTACAAGGCCACCCATATTTCCAGCATCCATTATAGGAGTTAATAGCTTTTCTTCTTCAAAAGATTCACTGGTAATATTAGAGAAATTTTTACATATATGTGAATAAATATCATATATATTTGTTCATTATGTAATGCTGTAAGAGATATCTACCATTGTTCCCATTCCAGAAGTTTTGTATTAACTGTACTATTGTTGGAATCAACTTGAGGTTGAGAATCTGATAAACAAGGCGAAGTAGAATCTTTAGTCGATACTGCCGTAGGCGAATTGCGACATGTCGGTGGTGCGCTTATAGAAGTTGTAGTTTTTTCCCTGTGTACGTCTTCCTCATTGTCATCATCGAAAGAAATTATGCGTGTTGGCACTTTCTTTTTTCGCTTTTCCTGTTCAGATGCAAGAGGGTCTGTTTGACAGATTATGATTAGATTATGATTATTATCAATAATTCAAATAGTTTGAAAATTTTTGTAATAGTTTAATGCAAAAATTTTCAAACTAATTGAATTATTATTTGTCATTTGAGTTGTTTTAAATAAAATTAGAGTTTTTAAAATAAAAAAAGAAATGAAAAGATTTCTTTTTTAATCAACAAATAAAATAGCAAATCTATTTTGATTAATAACATTATATGTGTGTGTGTGTGTGTGTGTGTGTGTGTGTGTAATCTTATTTTTATAAAACTTTTTGTTAAATATGACAAATTGTTTGCATTAATTTAATAGATTTAATACTCACCTGGAATTAATGTAGAAATAACTGGTTCTGATTGTGCACCTCTGTTTCTATCCATATCTTTTCCTTTCAAGTCATCAAGTTCCTCATTATCTACTCTTATTGCAAATAAAATTGTTCCAAGACCTGTAAATAATAAAATTAATTTATGTTTTTAAATATAAATCAAATAAATTCGGTCTAAAAACAAAAAGTACCTGCAGCTACATTAGGTAATACAGAGCTCTTCTCCTGATCGAGTAAAAAGGCCCATTCCTCAAAGAAGGGAGACAATGTGTCAGGATTTATGATAGCATGTAAATGTCGCTCCAGAGATTTTTCATTCAAGACAGCCCTCAGCCACGCTCTGCCTCGACCGTAATCTGTATGCACCTTTCTCAATATACCAAAACGTTCCTGTTCATGCCAAGTGAGTTGTTCTTTTATGCATGGCCAGAATGCTATATCTATTATATTGCTAGGTTTCACATTACCACCAGAGACTAAGTCAGACACATGCCTATAAAACAAATATGAGAGAGAATATCTTTTAATATTTCAATTTAAACTAAATACAACTGTTGCAAGTTTTACTCATATTATATAGAAATTTATCAATAATAAAAAATCATCTCCATGTATTTATCATCATGCTCGTGAGTCATATCGCGGATAAAGAGTGCAGTCTGTTTTATGACCTTGTATATACTCATGCAGAAAATCGTAGAATAAAAATAAATTTATAAATTTGATCATTACAAAATATTTAAAAAAATGTTACCTGAAAGCTGAGTTGATTTTTTCTATATAATTCGTCTTTAATCCATGACTAAAAATTAATTCAAATATATGGCAGAGTTTTGCTACGCATGCTTCCGATTCTGTAGCTAATTCCGCGCGTCCGCCAAACCTGATATGACATTCTTTAGCGGACACTAGCAGGTTCTCCAGTAACTTTTCCTTCTCGATTGCATGATCTATTATATTATGTGTATTCGGTACTATTGCTGACATAATACGCAAAGCCTAGAAAGGATAAATAATATCTTTAGAAAATGTGTCAAAATCAATACAATTTTTAAGGGGGAGAAAAATCTTAATGTTTCTTAGGTTTGCAGTATTCTCTGTAATTGAAGATAGAAGATTATATCATTACAACTAATTACATAAGATTTATGTTGTTGTGACTGTTGTTAAGTAATTGAATTGCATAATCTATGCATATGGTGCATATTCTATGTACCTCATATTTGTGAAACAATTAAAATTTAATATCTATTAGTTTTATTTTAAAATTCTTCCTAAAATATAGTCTAAAATTTAATATAAGATCAGTAATATGACAAGTTATTTCTTTGATTTAAACAGAATGAATATTACATCTATTTTGCATATAAACATACATTCCACTTTGATTGCATTTCTTAATCATTAAAATATAATATATCACAAAAGAATTAATAAAAAGATTTTATTTTCATACTGTGTAATTTAGTAATTTCTCATAAAATTTACAAAAATTTCAGATTTTTAAAATCAATTTGTAATTCATAAATACACATGAAGGTATATCAATTATGCAAATATGAAGAAAATATATAATTTAAAAAAATTTATATATAAAGTAAAAAAAAGGGGTTGATTCGTATTGTTTATATCCGTATACTATCCTAAACATAATTAAATTCATTTATAATAACAATTCAAAAATTGCAAAAGAAAAAATCTCTGGAGAGAGATTCTAAAGAAATATACTTTCGTCATTTTTCTCTCGCATTCCTTATAAGTGTTATTAGACCTTCCGGAGTATCCATATATATACCTATAACGATGTGTAAATATTCCATCACTCGAATTTACATACGCGACATAATTAAGGCATAAAAATGCATAAAAGCCTGAGTATATAGAGTTCACGATACAATATAATACGACCAATTACAAATTTCTCCAGATTTCTCCCGGATATCCGTGATTGTGTAACCGCAATACATACGAATCTGGGTTAGGGGCTGACCCTCGTATTTTTTATATACGGCATTTTTTTTTAGCCGTCATCGTCGCGTCCATTCATTACCGATGGCACACAACGCGCGCGGAGGGGGAAAAAAACAAAGGGAACTTACCATTTAAGCGACGCAGTGAAAAATCACTGCCTCGATCCGCTTTCACAATCGAGGATTGTCATCGGATATTCTCAGTTCCGCGTTATTTGCGCGGGAGGACCACGGATATGCGGAGAAACAAGAGAGAGCTATCAGCTGTCACTTCGGAGACGCGACGAAGCTGTTGATGCGTCGTCGTCGTCGCGTCATGACGTTTTGACACGGAAACCTTTGCTCGCTCGTCACAAAGAGATCACTGAAACTGGCGGGACTGCAACAGGGGCGGAACTGCTAACTACTTCGTGAACCCATCGCAAGATCATCGTACGGCTACTTTCTGGGAACATAGATGTGTCAGCGTGAGGTAGACGCACAGACGCCGATCTCGCGACACTGATTGCGCGATGGATCGTGCGTGATGGCTCGACGATGTCGATTGGCTACTTCGGCGGTGACGTCAATGGAAAGATTTTACCCACCAATCGGATCGGCGATCTGCGCAGACTCGTGCTTAGAAGCAACACGGAGAACGCTTCTAGAATTTATATAGATTCGGTCTCATAACAGTATATAAAATGTACTGTAACATGTTAGTGATTAGGTAACTATAAATATTTGATTATAAAATGTAGCAGTACAAATTTAAGTACATAGAGAGTATAATTTAACAATAATAGATTAGTATAGTAAGATTTATGTAATACGTAAAATAGTATTTGCGAATTAATATAGTATTTATAATAAATATTCAACTATAATACAACATGCTATATTGAGCAATTACAATTTATATTTATATAATATAATTTATTAATTTTTCATAAAGTATTTTCTCTTTTTTTTTTCCATAATGTGGGCCTAATGATACCATGTGTCTCGGTAAGATATGTGTGCTACTGAAGGTCATCTCCTGCGAGGAGGACTTCGTCCATCGACAGACTTACATTGCGCTATCATTTTATGCAATCTCGGATGGTGCTATTACTTTTTAAATTGGCCTTAATGGTAAGTCGATAACAATTATAGAATTATAGATATGTATCTTGTATTGATAACCGTACGCGCAACGGAAAATATTGTTAAATGGAATTTATTAATATGTATATTGATATTTTTTCCTTTTTAATATATATTATAGTGCTTTTCTCCGCGTCTTTTTTCTCTTTTGTTTTGAGGTGTGATATTCAGCGATTTGCTTTTTTTAGATTTATAAGTGGATATGATGTAAGTATATACGCGTCAGCCTTATTACATGTGCTCAATTGTCAAATATTATTTTGAGCCGCTAAAAAATCTCTCTCCTTAACGTTTGTGATTACGCCTCAACCCTTTCGCTAAACATTAGCGGCTAAATAATTTTATGTGCGTCCGAATTAATGTGTGTGTGTATCAATATATAAAATAAAGATGTAATATGAGAGAGTTAAGATTTATATTAAATTCAAGTGTTTTGCACACATACTTGCGCGTAAATAACAGATAAAAATTGTATTATTTACGACTTACAAATAATTTATGAAAATACGCGTTGATTTGTCATTATTTTTTAAAGAGATTTTAGAAATTTCTTGAATTTTTTTGTATTATAACAACGATATATATTTTAAATACTAAAGTGATGCAAATTGTAGACCTGTGCAAACTGCATAAATATGCAGAGCACGAATATTTATTCGCCATTCATTCTTGAATGTCGTTGATAAACAAAAGTGGCGAAAGGGTTGAAATTCGTAGAATTTTATAGATAAATTATTTTCGCGCAAGAGATTACATCGCAGGGCAAGTTATTTCCACGAGAACGTGGAGAATTCTTATTTAGTCAATTAATCTTGAATGTATTCTCTTCCACGAATTTCTAAATTTCAGCTTAATTTACATATTACATTTTGTTTACAATATTTTGGACTTGTATTGCGACGTTCTCGTTCAAACAGCTCACCCTGTATATCCAAAACAATAGTAAACAACTTCGATGTTTAATGCTTGTACGATGCTCGAAATCAAATGCGGCACGTCTGATTGCATTTGTTTTCTCCTTTTACAATCGAATCGAATAACCATTCACCTTGGGCGAATGATTTTTGTTGATTGGGAGCGAATTCTTAAGACCGAAATTTTTTACATGCTTTCTCTTTTTTTTTACGATAGGTACGCCGACTCAAGTTACACTTGAAAATTAACAAGCGCGTAAAGAAAAACGGCGCCTCCTGTATAGATATAGTAACCGTAAATATTTATTCACAAGAGAAATATTCTCATAAGCTCATTTAATTTAAGGATTTAATGCGTTTCAATATTGAACTATGATAATTATTTCATGCATTTCATTTATCATAATAAATTTAATAAAGAAGTTACAATTAATAAATATGTAGAAAACTATATTTGAGATTAATTAATATTCCGAAGTGCATTATTTGCCAGCAATTCCACTTGCTTTTTTGTTAATAGTTTTTATATTATTGGTATCGATCCATTAACACATTTTGGTTATATCTTTTAAGATCGTCAAAGAAATAGATTTTCCATTAATTGTAAGAAAAAGCAATTAAAAAATTTTGCGCATAAAAGAATTATATGATTTATGATGGAATAATCGTAACAACTTTTTGAGACAGTTCTATTCAAATGGTTTTGCAACCAGATTTAGTCAGATTATCTGAAAATCGAGTGCCAATCACACAACATTAATTGACAGACAATTTTAGAAAAAAGCGACGCCGTTTTCCTAATTTAAGCTTTTCCAATCGACTTTGATTTTTTTTTATGATATAGTTTTCAATAATAAAAGGAACAATACGCCATATAATATATTTATTACCGATTATTAGCGGAACATTTTGATCCTCCCACACATTTCAATATTAGTCACATCAACTCGCAGCTGCACTCTATAATTTGTTTAATAAATATAAAAAAAAATAAATCATGCATGATTAATCGAGAAAGAGAGAGAGAGAGAGAGAGAGAATGCACATTCGTCCCTTTTCCCTCCCTCAATACAATAAAATTCTATTATTATTATCGATTGTTATGGGTGACAGCATTCTGGATGAAGGATGAGATAGGAACGCAAGAAGACACACCGCGCAATTTATAAAATCTCTTTTTCTTTTTTATTGATGCTTTGACAACATGGGCTGAGACACACACATTTGCTCATAGTTCATATGAATTTAACCACTGCGTGTATTCAAACGTATACGTACACAATCCATTAAATAATCGCGCCGTATCGCGCGATACGTGCAAACCCGAGATTTGCGCCACCGTGTAAACTTATAATTTTGGGCTTATGTAAATCGCACACGTATAAAATGTCGATTGCGAATCGATCGCCCGCGAGACGGTACGCGATCCGTACGCAAATTTTCCGTCAAATCGCAGCCAGGGATACGTACTGTAACCGAACCCTCGAAAAGAATCATACGTAATCACGTATCACGTCATATAAGGGACCACGTCGACGTTCGTGCGCGATAAGAGCATACGCAGATTGATTCAATTAATCGTTACACGATTGGATACATCGCATGAGGCGCGCGAATCGCTCTAACAGATGAGGAACATTATTTTATTAATTCATGGACACACACACACACGCACGCACAAGTAAAAGCTACGACGAAATGCGTATTTAAGCGAACTCTTATTCTGTAATTTTTAATAAACAATTATGCAGAGAAAAAGAGAAAAATTGATATAAAAATACTTGAGTTGTTTTACAACGCGATTTTTACAAGGATAAAGAAATGTTCATTTTTAAAAAAGTCATATATTTATCATTTTATATACGCATTGATATCAATCAATATTTTTTTGTATTTCTCGGATTCAATTATCTTTATTATATTCACAAAGATCTCGTGTGTATATCATTTATTTTATTATTATATAATTAATATTTTCGCAAAAAATTAACAGAATATAACTAATAGTGAATTTTTTACTTGAATATATGAACATATAAGTTTTTCAATATAATTTAAACGAAAAGAATCTTAATTTTACTATATAAAGATGCTGTTATACATATATTATTTTTATTAGAACATATAAAATTAGTGGTAAATTTAAATTTCAACTTTAATTATAAAAATTAATTATCTGCTTAAATAAAAACAGTATATTAAGTCAACAATTATAATCTTTTTTACAAATATTAAAACTGACGAGGAATCTTATCCTCTCTTGACACGCATACATCGATAATTATTACGTGTCCAAGATTAATTTACAACGTTTCCGCAACTCGCGCGCGAGCGTCGACGACAACACCTGAGAGGATTGAAGCGAGAAATCGTAAACGTAGATTTTTCTTTCTTTCTTTTTTTTTTTTTTTTTTTTTTTTTTTGCCACGAGCATGTCACGAACATTTAATGACGGAGGTCTTACACATTGATCGTCTTTGAAACGAGGACGGGAGAGTCCGTCGAGGACCGGGCTTTGGTCGCTCGCCGAGTCTCGTGCTCGTGCGCGTCACACGTGTATCTCGCAAACGTGCGGGCGATTCGCGGATCTCTCCGCAAATTTTAAAAGGAAACCATCTCTTCCGCGATAATCGCACGCTCGTCTTGATATACGCGCACGCACACGTGTATGTACATAGATATCCGAGGAGATCCGACATGTGGGTCGTAAGAATAGGTCGACAGGATAGACTCTTCTAATAGACTTTGCAGACGGACATAATAGAAATAGTTAATATATATATAGCATCATATATTAATATAATATTTAGTATAAAAAAAAATAAATCATGCATGATTAATCAGACAGCAATAATCGTAAGCAACTAATATATTTTATCAAGGATAATACGTACTATTTGCTAAAATAACATTAACGTTTGCTACGCCAAAAATCGAACGTATTGCTCTTTTTTTATAATTTTATATTTTTTATAGTTTTCAAAAATTTATCTTATTTTATCATATCTTTATCTTTTAATAAATCCATACCAAGTTTTGCAAGGAAACAATTAACAGTACTTGATTTTTATCAAGTTGATTTCATCTCTGTAGAAGTTGTTTTGACTCGCAAATAAAATTGTCGCAGCTTGAAGTGACACAATTTCTGATTCTAGTTCGATATAGCACATTTAAACATTAAAATGGAGAGCGCGCGTTGACTTTTCCATAAGGATTATGCTGTATGCTTTATCAAAGGATCGCCCGTTCTTATATATAAAAGATATGAGACTTTCTTCTTTTGATCTTTGAAAACGCGCGATTGACAGTTCGAAACAACAAGCGTGAAGGCAAAAACGCTGATTAATTAATGTTCCGATTACTTATCATACGTTGGTGTTAGAATCGGATTTGCCGTCGTGTTTTTCAAGCGACTTCATATTCGAATATTCAAAAAACAGCCACACGATTGTTATTTGACACTTTATATTATTATCGAAGCTGAAAATATACGCAATTAAAATAATTGTCGAGTATTGGCTTGTTTTTCAAGCTATTTAATCTCGAGGATTTGAATATTTAATTATAAATTATAACTGCAATTTGATTTTATTTGTAATTTATAATTGCTTTGTTTTGTAACGATAATTACTGCATAAATTCGCTGTTGAAATAATGATATAATTATATCGTTCGAATATTCGCAATGCAAGCATGCAGATATTCGAAAGATCTCATTTTGAAACAATTACCGTGGCTGGAATATTATTATCGAATATTCGAATACATTGTACACTTCGAGTAATTTCGACGGCGCTGGGTGGAATGCGTCCAGGAACCATATTCCGAGTTGAATGCGTTGCAATTACAAAACGAGCGGAGCATACTTGGAACTTTCCGTGAAATTCTCCATGTCCGCGAATTCCTGTTTGCATGTTTACTTGTCAGCGCGAAGAAACAGAGTACACGCTATACAAAACGATTTAACGTGCGAGCACAGAAGCCTCAAGTCACTCAATGCATACTTACGCGAAATATTGTACATTGAATTACGCTAGAAAAAGTGCCCTTAATCCTCCCACGCTGTTATACACGCGCGCGAAAAAATTTATCTTAAATAGAAATATTAGATGTGTATCTTTCCCTCTCTCGTGCAATGATCTCCAAATCATTTCTGTTTAAAAAACTGCACCGTCAAATCTTTTTTTATTTTATTTAAATGTGCTGTAACAATAACAAGTTATTAAAAAAGAGTCAAATCATTTCATCATGAAATTATCTTTCGCGAATGCTTTGATTTTGTCCTTTTTTTTTTTTTCTTGCGAAAGTTCAAGCGTGAGAAGATTAATGAGGACGCGATAATATTACCCGCCTGCTAATTCTCGACATACAATCATTTAAATTGTATATATATTATTACACTTTCTACGCGACTACCACTCATCTTTGATATATTATTATATTTAGTCCCGAAAATAACATCCGTACAAAATTGACTATAGCCGATTGCTTTTATGATGTGTGTTCGAGTAGGTCATTTCAAGATCATTTTCGTGCGATGACAAAAGTGAAGATTACTCTATGCCTTAAGTTACGTCTCGTCTCATTTCTCTTCGTATGCCTCACTTTTTTTCCTTCTCTCCCTTTCTGCCTCTTTTCACGCGAGATAGGATGTGTATGTGATTGACCTGGGATTTTCCGACCGGTAGAGAGTGCTAAATTGTGCTCATAAGATTGAGTGAAACGTTCTATGAAGATAAAAAAATATGCGACGAGCATCTGCATAATAAAGATATTTGTTCTTTTTTTTATACGTATATGTATGTAAAAATGTCATTGTTATCTTCCGTTTTTCCCGCTTTCCTTCGTTGAATTGAACAGAATATCGAGTATGATATTAAATTATCGCTAAATGGAGAAAATTGATATTAAATTTTGTCGAGTAATAACTTTGCTAAAATGATGACTTATTATATATATAAACACACAAGTACGCATAGTGCACATGTCATAATATTGATTAAGCAACTTATTTCGCAATTTTATCGTTGCGTGATTATCTCCGAAATTCAACTTAATCAAAATATGTATTTTCATCTATATGCGAATACATTAATAATTTTAATTAACTGTCTTACTTCTTGAGTGACATCCCAAGTCAAGATAAAATTACTTAATTAACGTAAGACGGCAAATTCGGCGTAAAGATACTTATTGCTGTAATCATAATCTGAAAATATCTTCGAAATATAGCATTCATATGTATATATATATATATATATATATATATACGGACGAAATGTTTAAAGATTCATTAATCATTTGTAAAGCTCGCCCAACACCGGGATAAGATCGTTCATGAAGGATGCGAGTCCCGCATTGCCATCAAGATATGCACTTTGCACTTTGCACTTTGCAGTTGCATTATTCTCGCTAAATGTGTTGACGATTGATAAAGGTGTTGGTGTTTGGTCCATGGTATAGCTCTCTTCTACTTTTAATAGTAGTAGTAGTAGTATTCGTATCGATCACAATATTAACTTTTTTCGATATCATCGATGGAACTAAAACACGTGCTCGTGGCTGCGCTTGTGATACTTAGCTGCTAGAAAAGGATCGTGATAAGTCCTAAGATCATTAGAAAAATTGCAGTACGCAGTGATTCGTAGGAGCCGCCTGAACCGGCGCCGGATCGGGTATAGTACTCTATTTTTTGCAAGAATGATATTATATATCACTCTTTTAACCAATTTAATATTATACCAAATTCTGATTGACTAATCATATTTCATTTCAAAGATGAACAAATATGAAAAAAAAAAAAAATATGAGATGTGATATAACTTTTCGTTAATGAATTAAATAAGAGCGTTATTAGATTAAAAATATTCAGAAATAAAAGAGAGAGAAATATAAAACGTAATCACTTATCAGAGAGAAACTAAAACAGCGCACGCGTTATTTTATTTGTAATGAATAACAAATATAGAACAGAGTTAATTACTAAGCTAATTAACTCTGCGTAATGTAAAACTCTTATTTTTCGAGAGACATTTCTCTCATATACGCTTTTCTCTTCTCGATTTTTCGAGAAATGCTATAATTTTTTGGTTGCTTTTCTAATTGAAATTTTATCCAGCGCCGATTTAGACACGCTCCGAATTTCTCGATTTCTCCTTGAACGCTTTGAACTCGTAAGGATCGAAGATAATGTGACACCTCGTGTGTAACATCCGGTCGGAGGGAGTAATCAAAATTGACGCGGAAGGGTTGTGTTTTTTTCTACATACTTTTATCTTATTAGGCCGAAAGCGCCGTCTTCGAGACGCGCTCCGTCGAATTTTATATCCGGCCGGGCATTGTCCTGGTGCAACGACTTCCTTTCAACTCTCTTGAAATGCCGCGGGCGCGCATTCTCGCATAAATTATGCAAGTCTCTTGTGTTATATCGCATTTACGTAATTTAAGTAAGTATTGTGTCACGGGATTAGTTCTTGGATGAAATTCTATGTTGTATAGTGTTAAATTAATACGCGCATTTTCGCCGCCTCATTGACTGCAGTATCATTGTAATGAACGTTGTTGTTCCTATAAATTTCAAATTACAAACAATAATACAGGTAACGCGCGAATTTAATTTACGAAACGATTTTCGAGAGAAACGTTTTTTTAATACACAGATATAAGCAAAGTTGAAATTGTTAATAGTACAGGTTTAATTACGAACGTTGGTCATTGGAAAGTTTGTTTTATTCAGCACGTTTCATTTTTCTCGATTAAAAAAAAACAAATGTAATTATTGCCAATTTTAATTTTTAATCTGCTGCATTTTAATTAATTTCTCGATTAAATTTAAAGATAAACGCAAATAACACGAGGGTTATAATTACTACAGTGCAAACGCTAATTTTTCACAGACTGTAACTCTAAGAAAAAGAAAAATGGGAAATGCTGCAAAGTTAATATTAAAAAGTTTTTTTCGTAAATCTCGCGAATGGAACAGTACGATCATAATGTAACTTTAATCTTACTAAATTAATAAATTAAAATATATAACAAACGAGTTTGTTTATTTCATTTTATCGCAATTTACTTCATTCGGATCTTAATGACACCCATTTCCAATAATTAAGGTTTAATTAGAAAAAATTAAGTTTGAAAATACTAGCAACTATAAAATAAAGAGAATGTTTTTAATTTGTTTTTCATCATTTAAAAATAATTATTTAATAATAATTACTTACGGAAAAACGCGATAATTTAATATTTAACTATATATCAAAATAATATTTTATCATGCACACGTATCTCCTCTTAAAACCGTTAATAATCATTTTTGTGAAAAATGGATGTTATTTCTACTGCATTTAATATTTCCCAATTATATATATATATATTTAATTTCTACTTATCATTCTATATCGCGCGATAAAATGTTATAAATTATACAAACAATTGCTTCCAAGAACGATTTTTTTCTCGATAGTCCCAATTATCGAAAAGCACGATCAAGTGAAGTAATTATGACTTTCGAATAAATGAAACGATGAAGTTAAATTTCAACGATCACGGTAATCATTTAACGACTTTATGATAATTAGTAAATCAACGTTCATTTAATGTTTCGTAATTTTGCGAAGCTATTACCTTATAATTCTGTCATGAGAAAATCAAGTGATTTTCTTCGTCGTCTCGTTTATTCGACGCCCTCGATCAAATCTTTTTCTACGAAAGACCGGTCTATATATGGACCGACAGAAAGTCGCTGCACCGAGGATCGATGTCACGAGGCAAGCGATAGACATCTCTCCGCGCGGATCGCCCTATTAATATTTACAGTAAAGCCGCCTATATGTACCACTCGATGGCACTCGCACGACGACCGGTCGGTTGTCGATCCACTCGATCCTCATCTTCTCGAAAGTTCCACCCGTGGAAGGATGAGTCTGTACAAAAATGATGAACCGCGCGCGGGATGCGCGAGAGACACAGATGCACTTACGCGCGGAGCACTCTATCGCGTTTCACTTCGCCGCGATGCGATTCGTTATCCTTAAATTTTCATATCCTAACTTCGGGATGGCCCCGACAACACCACCACCTGACGTCGGACGGCACGGATATCTCTCTTTCATGGGATGCACGAGTGCGTGTTGGTCGCCTGCGCGGGCGACGACAGGGCGACGGAGAAGTCCGAGTCCAACACGAGGTCGCTGATGCAACCCACGATACCCTTCGCGTATCTGCCACCCGTTGTCCTCACGATGTCCGGTGCACCGCCTTTAAGATAAGACAGAGATCGTATCTTCGTAAAGAAAATTATTTTCTCATACGAAGATTAAAGCGAATATACGTGCATAATATCTTTTGATTAAGAGCCTCTTTCTACGAAAAATTTTGAAGCTCGTTTTCTATATCTTCAAAATAAAAAAAAGAGAGAAATGATAGCTTCTCTGTTAAGATTGCGATCATAGACTTCTATATATATACTAGACTGCTAACAGCGATGTGACAGGTGAAGCCAGGTGCATCCAGGAAAAGCTGCAATATTAATATAAAAGTTTTGTATAATTAATATAAAAGTCCTGATATATTAAATATTGCAGCTTTTCTTTAAAAAAATAAGTATCGATTGACAGCCTGGTTATATTCTGCTCAATTATAAATGGCTGCTGTCACATCGGTGTTAGCAGGTATAATATAAAAATCTGTGGTTGCAATTAAAAATACTTCATATCATTAAATATCGATTGCTTTTAATGACATTTTTTCTATTTTCCACGAGGATGCGAAATAAATTTATAAAATATTTGCACGTACAAAAGTAGATTAGCGACGGTTAATGTTTCAAGATTGCGAGATAATTTAGGTTTGTAATGAGGTAGTAACAGCACAGATTTTATTACTTCTCGCGCACTCACCAACGTAAAGACCAGTATCAGTGTTCAATTGTCTCAGTTGTCCCGGGGAAGATGCCGAGACTCCAGTGCCACTATCTACCACGAGAGATGCCCATTGCTCGTTTCTAAAAAAAATCAATGTTATTCATTGCTGTGTTTCATTTCGGGCATAAACTAGTATCAACATTTTTCTTTCCGCCGTTTTTAATAAATCGCGATTTGCCATCTGCAAGAGAGATGGATACTGATATATTTGTTTTATTCGGCTTCGGCAGAATATAGAACAGTGTGCAGATTAATAACGCGAAGGTTTATCAAAATATCCTTCCTTTATGGAATTTCGTGAAAATAATACTGTTTTAAATGATATCCTCGGGCTACATGGAAGATTGAAAATAGAGCAACAAACATTTGTTTGCATATACAGTGTCCACATGGTATTTTCTGTTAACTACGAATTTTTTTAAACGAATATAAATTCGTTTTTATTTAATTAAAATTGAATCTCTCTCTCTCTCTCGTAAATCACACACGATTCTTTAATGTTTAATATTAGCCATTCTGGTTTCGCGGTAAAATATAATATTTTATAATGCGCATGTATTTTAATTCGCGTTTTGTCGAAAGATATAGATTAAAAGGAAAAATAGTGATTATTCTCCTGTGTATTAAAAAGGGCATTTTTTTCTAACGCATCCCTTAACTCCTTCCTTCACGTATCGATCAATATGTTATGTTAAATAAATAAATGTTACGAAAATAGAGGCGCACGTACGCGAAAGGGTAGGAAAATCGGGGTAACGAAGCGCGTAAAGCGATTGTTCTCACCTAACAGCTCTGATACGATGCCACAGATCGTCATCCAATCGCGTGAGATTATATCGGAGCACGGCCTCCCCGGAGCCCAAATTATACGCGAGGGTGAGGTAACCGTGATCCAGGCCGAGGGCGAGAAAATCGTCGTTCTCGTCCCTTTGTTCCTGAGAATCCGATTGCCGGCCGCTCCATAGAAGCAGGCCGCTGCTGCTGCTGGCGCGGAATCTCATGTTGATGTCCACTCGGTAGCTGATTATCCTGCAAGCGCGCCAACGAGTGCGATTAATAGCTGAGCAAAGAAGGAATCTGTGACAAACGATGCGACAAAAGATCCATCCGAAGGGGAAAGTAATTTAACTTTACGACATCGTTACGTAATATTTATTCTATACAGGGTGTCTTAGAATTATCGCATCACCTGCTAATGGCAGATTCTTGAGATCATTTGGAGACGATTTTTACTCAGCGAAAATATCTTGAGAGGTCATCATTTTTCACAAGTTTCCAATTTTTGCTATCATATATCTTTGTAACTAAACCTTAAATTAAAATTCTCTCTCTATTAAAATAAATTCTATCTGAAATTAACTAAAGAATGTAAGTTTTAACTCTCTATAAAATTTAGTTTGCAAAAAGCCCTTCTTTTTGAATCGTTTATGGGAATTATTTGCCTCGATATTTTTGCTGAGGAAAAATCATCTTAAAATGATCTCAAGAATTTCTCATTAATAGGTGATGCGGTAATCCTGTAACATTCTGTACAAGCAGCGCATTTTAATAACAATCTGTGTAAAATACAAATCTATCTGTAAATATAAAGCACGCGTTAGCTGTTGAAATAAACCGCCTGAAAATTGGCTAATTGTTTGTAATCGAAATAATTAGTCGTGCAATCGTTGAAGGTTTATCTGACGCGAAATACGATTTATTTCCCCTCAGATTGCTTGTCATAGCGCAACGCGACGCTCGATAAACTAAACGCGACGTGGCTAAAGCGGGTCAAGGAGCGATTGTGTGTAGCGCAACGTGTAACGCTGTTTATCGCATCGCTCGTTTTTTAAACGCCGCTTTGACATGCCGCTTTTGGCATTTACCGAACTTTTGCTCGCTGCCAATTATATTTCGCGCGTGCGTACATTAATGGAATAGTTAACGGATGAGTCGACGAACTTTTAAATTGCAAAAATGAATCACCAATGACGGTGGGAAACATGCCAGGTGACACGAGTACATATATACAGAGTGTTCCGCGCTCTATGAGAATACTTTTACGCGTAATAGTCAATTCGCCATCAAATTGGAAAACGAGTTTTCAGGTACAAAAATTCGAGAGGAAAAAACTAACTATCAATTCTACAAGAAAAATAGAAACGATTGGGATTTAATTAAAATTCTTGATATTATAATCGCGACCGTATTTATTTATACGAAAATTGCGTTCGCGTCGCTCGTTATTCTCATTATATCGTGCACCTTTTCATCGTGTCGGCGTCGTTGTAATGCAGATAGCTCTCGCTGCCGGTGAAGCTGGGCACAGCCCTCTCGTATCTCACGGATTGCGTCACGGCGTTGCTGTTGACCCTAGCAGGCGGTGGCACCAGCCGCGTATAATCGTCCGGCGCCGGACATGGGTGCGGTACACCCGGACGGCACCGACAGGTGAATCGCTCGCGGAGAGGCCGGCACTCCGCATCGCCGCAGGGTCTGGCCTCGCACGCGTGCCCACAATTGCCCACGTTCACCCCACCTAGCGCCTCGGCTAGGATGCCCACCTATGACAGGAATTATGTAATAGCGATAAAAAAAAAACGATGAATAATAAAATAAATTGCAATAATGACATTTGGAGAGTACCGTGATATCGTGATGATATTTGTTTTTTGTGAAAGTCGTAAATAGAAGGTGCTAATGGCAGATTCTTGAGATCATTTGGAGACGATTTTTACTCAGCGAAAATATCTTGAGAGGTCATCATTTTTCACAAGTTTCCAATTTTTGCTATCATATATCTTTGTAACTAAACCTTAAATTAAAATTCTCTCTCTATTAAAATAAATTCTATCTGAAATTAACTAAAGAATGTAAGTTTTAACTCTCTATAAAATTTAGTTTGCAAAAAGCCCTTCTTTTTGAATCGTTTATGGGAATTATTTGCCTCGATATTTTTGCTGAGGAAAAATCATCTTAAAATGATCTCAAGAATTTCTCATTAATAGGTGATGCGGTAATCCTGTAACATTCTGTACAAGCAGCGCATTTTAATAACAATCTGTGTAAAATACAAATCTATCTGTAAATATAAAGCACGCGTTAGCTGTTGAAATAAACCGCCTGAAAATTGGCTAATTGTTTGTAATCGAAATAATTAGTCGTGCAATCGTTGAAGGTTTATCTGACGCGAAATACGATTTATTTCCCCTCAGATTGCTTGTCATAGCGCAACGCGACGCTCGATAAACTAAACGCGACGTGGCTAAAGCGGGTCAAGGAGCGATTGTGTGTAGCGCAACGTGTAACGCTGTTTATCGCATCGCTCGTTTTTTAAACGCCGCTTTGACATGCCGCTTTTGGCATTTACCGAACTTTTGCTCGCTGCCAATTATATTTCGCGCGTGCGTACATTAATGGAATAGTTAACGGATGAGTCGACGAACTTTTAAATTGCAAAAATGAATCACCAATGACGGTGGGAAACATGCCAGGTGACACGAGTACATATATACAGAGTGTTCCGCGCTCTATGAGAATACTTTTACGCGTAATAGTCAATTCGCCATCAAATTGGAAAACGAGTTTTCAGGTACAAAAATTCGAGAGGAAAAAACTAACTATCAATTCTACAAGAAAAATAGAAACGATTGGGATTTAATTAAAATTCTTGATATTATAATCGCGACCGTATTTATTTATACGAAAATTGCGTTCGCGTCGCTCGTTATTCTCATTATATCGTGCACCTTTTCATCGTGTCGGCGTCGTTGTAATGCAGATAGCTCTCGCTGCCGGTGAAGCTGGGCACAGCCCTCTCGTATCTCACGGATTGCGTCACGGCGTTGCTGTTGACCCTAGCAGGCGGTGGCACCAGCCGCGTATAATCGTCCGGCGCCGGACATGGGTGCGGTACACCCGGACGGCACCGACAGGTGAATCGCTCGCGGAGAGGCCGGCACTCCGCATCGCCGCAGGGTCTGGCCTCGCACGCGTGCCCACAATTGCCCACGTTCACCCCACCTAGCGCCTCGGCTAGGATGCCCACCTATGACAGGAATTATGTAATAGCGATAAAAAAAAAACGATGAATAATAAAATAAATTGCAATAATGACATTTGGAGAGTACCGTGATATCGTGATGATATTTGTTTTTTGTGAAAGTCGTAAATAGAAGGTTTTTTTATATGGCTTCAAAACTTGATTTAATTTTACCAGTGGACTTTATTTTCAAGGTGTCGCGCTGCCACTATTTTATTTATTTAGCCTCCCGTTGTATAAGTCGCATCTATATTAATTATACGTCGCATCTTACATTTTCCTTCAATCTACTCTTCTTTTATAAAACAAAAACGACGATTAGAGATTCAAATTTAGGTAATTCATGTGAGAGCTCCGACGTTATCTACCAGGCCAGCGGAGCTCAAACTCTAAGGCGTTCCTACGGTGGCATTATCTACCGCGTAACTTCGGAGCAACCTGTATAATCCCGAGTGTTCTTACCTCACGATTATTCAGCACGATCGTCTGAATGCAGCCGACGAAGCTGGCCGTAGTTTTCATCTTCGGCGAGTACATGTCGGACGACGGCGCGCCGCCCAAATAGAGGTTCAACGGTAAGGATAATTGCGTGAACGCCCCGGGCGCCAGGATTTCCTGGGCCGGGTCTTCCTCAACTTCCAGGGATGCCAAACGACCTGTCCTAGAGACTCGAACTTCGACCCATTCGCCGAGACGAACCGGATTCTCGCTCCTGAAACGATAATACAGATAGCACATTTAGAATGCAATGTCATTAACTTTTAAAGGGCCGGCGGCTATTTTGCAAAATCCTCTGAAAATTTTGTTACCGAGAGGAAGGAAAGTTTCCTAATTAATGCATATAAATCCGCATACATGAGTCGTACATTATGCGCCATGATAAAGTGCAATCTCCTGTTGGCGCTGGTTTGTTTTTTTAGGTCACTTTGATTTATTTTAGGAAAGAGCTGAGGATTGTGTGCAACTGTAAAGTGGCATTGAAATAAAGCGTGAAAATATTATTTTTCGTTTTCTAAGTATTTCAAAATTACATAAAGAAGAATTTTTTTTTTAATGTCTTTTCAAGGAAAAGAGAGGAAGAAAGAGAGAAAGAGAGTTGTTTTCCAAATAATTCTATATCCGGATGCCTACATTTTTTTCGATAAAAAGCTATGGCATCAGAGAAAAAAGTAGTTCAATTATTTTATTTAAGATTAAGATTATATATATATGTTATTTTTTATTCATATAGATTTTTTATATTGTTATATTGATACTATCACTTTCTCTTTCTGGGATAAACACACTTTACTTTATTCTTCCTTTATCTTCTTTGTATGTTGAAAAAATTCTGAACAAGAAAATGAAGTATAATACGAGAGATGATATGGCTTCTCCTCTAGCTTAACGAGGTACGACGCAAGGTTCTTCAAGAATATATTCGAGGTTGAAAAAGGGAGATGATATTACTTTTTTCAGATTTTTCGAACAATTCAATTTTTTTTAAAATGAAGTCCCCTCATTCACGAGATCAAATTTTTTCGGTACATTTATTTCTTTTTTCTTCTCACGAGACGTTACTTTTCCCGTGACTTTTCGATTTTGCGGGATACGTATATCGTATATTTTGACATCGTATCTCTCTTTCGCGCTGAAAATCTAACGTTGAAAAACGTTTCCGCCCGGAGCAACTGTACTTTCGTCGAAATGATGCTCCCCGCGAAAACACGTTAGCGCCAAAAAAAGTGAAACGAGATTCGCGCTTCGGGAAATTGAAACGGCGCCTTTCCGCGTCCGCGCGAAGCAATTAACGCGCGGTTCGATCCGCCCTCCTCGCCACCGTTTACAATTATAATCGATGTTAACTCGATATTGACAAACGCTCCATCGATTTGATTTCGCAATAACGCCCGGTAGACCAGCCAAGCCGGCCAGGAATTTTCCTTTCCTTTCCGGAACGAAAATTCACGAACGTATCGCGGAAACTTTACGCGCGCGGCCGCAAAATCAGATCATTCAATTTTAATTTTGCGAGAAAAGTCCATAGACAATGGATTCCCCCTCTCCGAGAGGCGAGGGGTGGCATCTGGCGTACCTTTTCCCGAAGGAAAGCGATAGAAGAAATTCTCGCATAATTAATATTGAATCGCGAGACAGAGGGGTGAAGAGATGGGGGAGGGTCGGCGAGATCGTAGGCGAAAAGTAAATTGCTAATTAATGTAGAAGCGAGAGGGAATCGGTAATTTTTATATTGGACTTTTCGCTCGGCGCTATTACGATAAAAGATATGGCGAGCTTGGGACTTGGAGGCTCGCTTGTTAACTGTTTTCTTTTTCCCAGACGCGAGATTAAACATGCTTGCTTAATAGCGCGCGTAATAAAACGCGTTTTTTTTTTATATGACGGAATTTCGTTGCGGTTGCTTTTTATTTGGTGGAACAGCGATATTGTATTTTTGCACGAGATCTATTGTTTATATATATATGTATATATAGCGGGGAATATAAATTGCATATAAATATTTCCGTTCGGATAAGCCGTCATCAAGATATAATAATTACAGCGTTAAAATGCATAATAAATATATATTGCTTATGTCTGCGTGCCATTTATTTATTTTATATTTCGTTTTTTTCAAAGATTAAAATTTCTTTTTTTTTTTTAATTTTGAGAATATGATAATTTCTTCCACAGTATTCCCGAACCTTCAATTAAAATTAATACTAGAAAAATTTAATCACATCTGGTTGTATAATTATTAGAGAAATATTTGTTTAATATCTGCACTAATTATACAAAAGAGTACTGGTCGGATTTGATCAGTTTTATCCAATAGTAACTTTATTCATTGTTAATCATTACGACAAATTAAATCAAATCAAATAATCCGATTAGCATTAGCGTTCGTTAACAATCCGCTTTTCGCAAAATAATAGTGCAAAAAGTTTCACGTTTTGCCGTGGATATAATTGTAAAAAAATATTGGTTTACCTTTTTTTACATACTTTAACAGTATTGATATTGAAAAATATGATAACCTTAATTGATGTGTATAATATTAAATGATAAAATATTCCATCAACACATAAAAAATATAATAGCGAGATAATCGATATCAAAAAATATAATTTATCATAAATATTTATTAAACATTGCTGTTATTTATTTAAAAGAGCAGTTGCAGAGTTTTTGATTAATTTTGCTTAACAGTAATCTCCTTCATTGTTAATCAGTGCAATGAATTAAATCGACTCGAATAATCAGCATTAGCGATTGCATCAACATTCCGTTCACTTCGCGAGACAATGGTATAAAAAAAAGCTTGAGTGTTTCGCGTACAAAATCGACATGCGTATGTCGGTTTAATCGTCTGACGATGCGTACACAAACGATGCAATTAGCGCCCCGTCGACGTGGCTGCGCGACGCTAATAACAACGTCTATCGCGAAACGAACATCTCCAGAGAGCGGATTGTCACCCCGAGCTAGCTGTTCGTCGCGCTCGGCGAAAATCTCGCTCGGGGAAACTTGTTTGAGGGCCGTCGGCTTACCTCAGAGTGGCAGGTCCTGTTCCGAGGTCGAAAGTGAACTGCACGTGGCCCGAGGAGAGATAGAGCGCAATAAAGTCACCGGTAGCGTCGCTGTGATGGCCGTTGTAGAGTATCACACCGTCCGGGGCTGTCGGTTTTAACGTGACGGACAATTCCAGCCATGACAGCGACGTGTCCGCCAATCCCGGATAACGTAGGTAAGAGGATCCGTTGAAGGATGGAACCTGCGGGAATAAAATACCATGCGGTCTGAGATTGCATGGAAATGTCGTTACCAGGCAAATGCATTCTCGTTTTTCCCGTCTGCTTTTAATTCGCCATTGATCGACAAACACGTTGCATTTTATCGTGCCTCGTGTGTCTTTTAACCCTTAGTCATGTGACATAAAAGACTGCAAGTTATTCATTTTACATTTAGCGAGATAAATTTTATTTATCCTTGAATAATTTAAGCCCATCTTAAATGAATATAATTTGCGACAAAATTTGGAACAGCATTCTATTAATAATTTTACGTGTCATCTAATACAAACAACATTTGAACAAGTATAAAATACATATATATTAAAAAGAATACACATATACATTAAAATTATAAAGAGAATTCTATCCCGAATTGAATTTTGTTGATTGTTTAATTATAATTTAAAATGGATTTAACACTCGATTTTTTCCTAATCAATATCGAGAGAGATTTGTTGCGAGTTTTTATTATTTCATTCGTATTCAATATTAAATATCTTTGTTATTCGTTTCATAGTTATTAAAGTAAAATTCGTTTGGAATTAAATGAAAAATATATTTTACTAATTGCTTGCGCTTTTGAAGCATAGTTTATTGGAGAAAGCTCTTTATTCATAATAATTTATAACTTTAAAACAATTAATCCTTACGATGTTTTTATTCAAAAAGAATCGATTTTGAATTACTCACAAAGAAAAGATGACACTATGCATTAACGTGAAATAAAAAACTTACTTTTTACAAATAAAAGTTATGTGATCGATTTTGTTGATAAGAATACGTTTAATTTAACATTAAATAGAAAATTATATGATATAAAGTTTTTTTGTTAATTAATTTCACGCATATTAAGGGATTTCTTGTAATAATCTTTTAGATACGAAACGCTAATATCACGCTAACTCGCGTGTACAGAGAATGATAATATAAGTTCAAGAAGGAAATTGCTATAATAATTTAGCTGCTTCGCAGAGAACACGAGATCTTAACGTTTATCGTATTCGTAAGTACGATATTCCAAGAAGGAATTATTATATTCTAACAATAGAGATCTTCACGATAGAGAGAGCTAAATGTGGATCGTAGAAAGTGAAAAGGGAAGTGAAGATTCTAGAAACTTAGTAATTTCGTTTTAATTATGAACCGTATATTGAGAGAAGATCTATTTAGATTAGATAAACGGCAAATGATAGAGATTTTTTTTTCCGATGAGAAATAAACATATATAATTAATTTTAATAAACTGCATATATTAGATTCAATTAATTACTTTTGCATCAACTAATTTAGTGTTTCATCGACATGTTAATTTATTAACTTGATATTTGCTTCAATAGAGTAATTATTTTACATACAAAGTATCCTACCAAAAGCGGCCAACCTCTTTTATCTTTTAAACTAAAAGAAATAGACTATAACAAATATATATCAAATTAAATGGTTCAAATTGAACTCTATTGTGAGCATAGTAGTTGCTTCCAAAAGCTATCTGTGTTAACAAACGGAGAGGTATGCATAATTTTTTTATAATAATATGAATATTTTGATATGAAAAAAGTTGTAGCGCTGTTTGAATCGAATACAACAATGTATGATATAATGTAAATATTTTACATATTTACGAGTTTTATCAACTTGAAATATCGCGGGCGATGTTTACCTTTTCATTTCCGGCCCTGCGATATGGCCAACTTCTGATTAAGTAGTATGATCAAATGACAACATGACATATGTCAATCTTTATTGTACGAGTCAGAAATTGGCCATATCGTAGGGTAAAAAGTAAAAAGGTAGATATCGTCTGCGATATTTCAAGTCGATAAAACTCGTATAATATGTAAAATATTTACATTATATCATACATTGTTATATTCGTTTCAAACAGCGCTACAACTTTTATTATATCGAAGTATCCACATTATTATACAAAAATTATGCATATCTCTCCGTTCGTTAACACAGAGAGCTTTAGGAAGCAACCATTATGATCACAATAGAGTTCAATTTGTACCATTTAATATTTAATTTGATATATATTTGTTACGATCTATCTTTTAGTTTGAAAGATAAAAGGAATGGCTACTTTTGGTGGGACATCCTGTATATATCCTATATTTTTAATTATAATAATGATACACTCTTATCGTGAAAAAAAAAGAATTTTTATTATATTAAATATATTTTGCGACGTCTTTTTTTCTTCTGCGATATATGAACTTGTTTTATAAATATTGCTCGGGGATAGTTGTTCCTATACTCGTAATAATTTTAATGCGATGATATATTTCTTATTATTGCAGATGCGCACAGACGTTTGATTCTTACACGCGCATCTCTCTTGCGGGAACTGTAATAACTCTCCTCGTCGTCAAGCATAAAGTAGAGAAACTCTCGGAGAACAGCTGTTATTTAATTTACGACTGGCGCGGGATTTTGTGCCTTTCGTAAATCGAAATGCAAATACGCTGTATGTCACTGTCTCGGATAATCCTTGATACAGCTGCATTCAAGTGCCTTAAGAGCAGTAAGAGGTCGAAGCGAGGCTGCTTCTGCCTTAATGAGACTGCCTGGTAATTGTTTGTACGTCAGTTGCCTCTCAAGATAAAGCGTAAAACGTAAGCGCAGGATCCCTCGTCGAATTATTGTACGCCAGCCCCCCCCACAC